GGACAGTTTAGGGCATTGTGAGTCTTTTTTATTATTGCTAAATGAGTTTTCGTTTCTCGTCACCAGTCGTCCAGAATACATGTAGGTGTGTGTCTGTCTCTTCTTTATACTGTGAAGTTTGTAACCCTGTTGAATATTACTTTGGGGTGAATTTATTCCTTATCTTACCACACACACACACACACACACACACCACACACACACACACACACACACACACCACACACACACACACACACACACACACACCACACACACACACACACACACACACACACACACACACACACACACACACACACCACACACACACACACACACACACACACACACACACACACACACACACACACCACACACACACACACACACACACACACACACACACACACTTTTTCACGTATACCTATTTTTTATATATTTAGATATACTGTATGTATGTGTGTACGTATTAATGCTCGTACATGGACGTGTATGTGTTATTCCTGTATGCATGCATGTATGTATGTATGATGTTACTGTAAATGTATATGTTTCAATCTTGTTACACATTAATGCGTTTGGCTCTCAGTCACGCGTTTGGCTCTCAGTCACGCGTTTGGCTCTCTTTCTCCTTTACTTCCATTAATGTTTCCTGTTTTTAGTGTGAGGGGATTTGCTTTGGTTCTGTCTGTCCACTCGTCCGTCTGTCGGTCCGTCCATCCCATATTCATATCAGCTTAATAAAACAAAAAACAATTGAAGGGGTTTTATTTCAATTAGACGTAAAAGGAATCAAAACACATCACCTAACCTAACAATCCAGTGTCGAGATTCTCAAAGACTCGTAAATATTCTCTCCTGGGGGTAAGAGGCCGCGTCTAGTTACCACAGATTCTCACTCCACTGTCGATGTCATTCTGGTAGCGTTGGTTTTTGTACCGTGTCTTAAGTGAGCCAACGAGAAGCTTCCTCACGTCTCCAGTTACAAGGAAAACTTAGCTAAGGAACCTTGAAGACTCGTTTCCTGCTTGACGGGTGTGGCCTTAGCTTACATTATCAAGTTTCCTAGTTTGTCTGTATGTAATTTATTATTCAAGAGGGTTTATGTCCTATACTGTATTGATAAACACCTGTCCAACTGTTTGTTCCTTTGTCCATATGCTGTAAGGACTAGGCATGGTCTTCAGTGTATTAGCGGTGTGGTCTGTGGTCTTCGTTTCTGGATGATGTGGTTGGGATATCGAGATATTTGATGTTTTTTTTTTGTTTTTTTTTATGAATCACCTGAATTTGGGGAGTTCAGGTTAGTGCGATATGATGTCAATTCCGAGCAAAGGAACGTAAACAATAGTGTATTTAAGTACAAAGTCTGCTGCAACTTGAGATAAATTTATAATAATGTTTGATTTTCCTTCATGAAACACGAAAATCGGGTTTCACCAGCCTTAGGTCCACAGAGACACAGCAGGACCAGCACTACCCTCGGCCATTTCCCCCACCGGTAAAGTTGGGTACCCACTCACAGCTGGGTGGACTAGGGGTGTCCCAGACTTGGAAACAGCTACCCTTAGGACAGTAACTGAGCATTATCCATTCGGCCTCCACCACACCATACCACAGCTGGTCACCATCACCATGTAGCGGAGGAGAACCCATCTGGCGAGTGTTTGAGTGGAGAGACAATTTATGCCTCGTTACTCTCTCTATATATACAGGGTGTCTCGTGGAGTTTTCATCACAACAGCAACATTGTTCCCGCTCGTTGATGTGTGACGTGTCCCACAAGTTAGGACAATGTTGCTGCTGTAATACCATACAACCATTCACGCGATCTCCACATTTTTCAGAGACCTCCTGTATATTGGATATATTGGAACATCAATTCTGGCAGCATGTAATAAGTGTCAGGAGGGGACGATGGTGTGTTATGAGCAGCGGGTGTTTTGGTCACGTGGTGTGTGGGTTCAGGCAGGAGGTTGTCACCCGCCCGCCCCTCACTATGTGTTGGCGGGTATTTGTACAAAACTTGGCAAAAATCTCCTAACCTAACCTAACCTATAGGACAAGAAGTAAGCATTCTAGCCTCCCCTAACGTATGATATCTTGATGCATCGTACTCAAAGTGCTAAGAAAAAAAAGTTGACGTCGTCCTCAAGAGGTTAAAAGGAAGATGAACCACGTCACTGATAAACCCAAGTTTTTACTTTGTGTTGTTATTATTATTATTATAATTATTATTATTATTATTATTATTATTATTATTATTATTATTATTGTTATCATTATAAGTAGTAGTAGTAGTTATATGAATCATTATTTTCATGTTACTTGTGTTATCATCATTATTATCATTTTTATTTTCTTAAGATCTGACAACCAATATAAACCTAAGTGGCTTTACATTATCCCAAACCGTTTTATTAACAAGATTTTGATTGTTAAGGTGATGTTGTGTCACGCAGGTCACATATCTTATGATTATGTTTGTGATTAATGGTGGCCACTCTTCACCCGGCAGGTTGGGCAGCATGGAGCCCGTACAGGACTTCAGTCGACTCCGCGTCACAGATTCCCCACAGGAGGGAGGCAAGAAATCCCAAGCCTCTTCCTCAGATCTCTACCCTCGAGTGGGCCTGCTGCAGCCTGGAGGTCCTGCCCACAGGCCTCACAGCAACGATTTCCAGAGACCCCCTCCTCCGAAATATCCTTCAGGAGACTCGCACTCGGGCGTAGGGGGCCGGGCAGCAGGAGGGGTGGTACACCTGGAGCCTGACTACACAGACAACACTCGGGACTACAGGAAGGCCCGCCCTCCCCCTCAGTACCATGAAGCTGTGAGCGGCCTCCACCGTTTTACTCATTACAATCCTGAGTCTAATTTGCAGAAATATGCCTCAGAGACGTCACTGTTACGAGGCGGTGGTGGAGGAGGGAGGGAGAGGGTCCCCGGCAGAGAGCAGGAGGGACACAGAGGCCGCAGTTACTCCAACGTCGCCTCCGTCAGTCGTCCTCTCGACATCCCAGCCAGGCCTCGACCTCAAGAACACTCGCTTGATTCCTCCATGAAGACACCCAGTTCTTTTACAGATATAAATTCAATATTCCAGCAGCAACAGCAGCAGCCTTCTCATAAAGGTGTGAGCACGACCAAGGCCAACCCTGTGGTGATTCAGCAGAAGACCCAGATGATGCCCGGGCGATCACAGCCTTTCAGAGAGGACGTGACACAGGGACCAAGAGGAAACCCCCCACTCACACTTCCAATCCCAATTATGAACAACTTTCGCTCAAAAAGTCCGAGCCTAGATTGTTACTTAAATCAGAGGGATCTAGATTTGACATTCCATCGGTCGTATCGATCAAAAAGTCCAAGTATTGATTGTATTGTTTCTGAAGCTGTCACCTCCACCTCCAGTAAAATATTCGCCTCCAAGAGTCCCAGTGTTGATACCTATTTGAACCGCATAGCGAACCCCGGTGAACCCAGCCTTTCTCAATTTAGTGGCCGAGACCAGGACTTCCGGAGCACGGGTAACTACCTAAGCGTGCACAGCGCCAAACACTTCCGCAGCAAAAGCCCGAGTCTAGACGCTGGCGTCTTCCTCGAGGCGGTGCGGGGCGGCAGTCAATTTGAACTTCCAGGAAACAGGACTTATCCTCATCGTCCTTTTGCAAGTACCACCTTGACCGAGGCCAAAATTGAATCAACGGACCAAGTTCAGGTGGGTCGCAATGGAGACAACAGCCTAATGATTCCACCACCTGGGGCTCTGGAGCGACGACCCAGCGCCCAGAGTTTACCTGACCTCTCCGGGCCTGCCCTGGATGACCTCTGTCCCATTACTGGACCTTCCACGACACTCACTTCACGGCCCTTCAGCCCCCCAACTTACACTCAGGCTCCCTTCACCGCCCCTCTTAACCATCAAACGTCCCACCTGCAGGCAGCTCAGTACACCAGCCCGACACTCACAAGTAAAACTACGTCTCAACACCTGCCAGAGACCAGCACCTCAGTCACTAAGAGCCTCCGGTCTCGCCCTTCCATACAAACGTCTCCGAGTCGCGAAATCCCAGGCATCAAACGCGAGCAGGACTCGCCACCTCCGCCTTACCCGCGCCATCGGCCACCTGGGGACATGGCTAAAGGACCGCTTCTACCTGGGCTAGATGAGGTCCTGCCTCCCCGAGAAACACGACCAATCGCCGGCTGCTCCAACCTGGTGGTCAGCCGCCTCAGCGATAACACAGGTAAGTGTGCACAATCTTGTTTACTGACGCTGTACTCTTGCTTGCTCTCCTGAACTTCTTATATCCAGTTTTAGAAAGTAAAGTGGTGGAAGGTCTGGTTTAGTGGCTTGAGGCTTCATTGTACCTTAACAGTGTTTTATCTTATTGATGTTAAGTGAACATGTCTTCTTGAGATGGAGTATCAGTGTACTGTAATGTTTGTTATATTGGAATTTTTTGACGTATTTAACTTGCGTCAACCAGCTGGGAGTCATTTTTGTGTCCGTTCACGAGGAATATTTACTGCGGGAACCTTTGTGAATCTGATCTCAAGAGAGCATCAGGGAGGCTGGCAGTCAATTGTTACTTAATGTGTGTTATGAGGAGGAAATATCTAATATTACACTTCACACTACTACAACACCCAAAGCTCTGTAACACTGCAACATCTCGGCTTGATATTTGATCATAGGGAGTGATACCACTCCCCTTATCCCCCCTTTACCTACCCGTCCCTCTCTCCACCCAACACCCGTCCCTCTCTCCACCCAACACCCGTCCCTCTCTCCACCCAACACCCGTCCCTCTCTCCACCCAACACACTCAGTAACCCGAAACTTAATCTCTAGCATTAAACTTTCGAGAAATAAGATACACATCCAAAAAAAGTTGTTCATAGAGGCGATTAACGTTTATAAAATACAGTATGATTAAACATATCAATCTATTTAAAGTCAATTCATACACCGGAGGAACTACCTACCAGATGCTGCTCCACTTTGTCATTTAACATTCTGCCACACCAAACCTAATCTAACCTAACACATTAGTTTTTATTATCATATTTAAGAAAATCGTCTATCATGACAACTCGGAGAACCGGCTACTGCTACAGTATAATTTATTCGTTTGTAAATTAAACCACCATCATTATGTTAGGGGGAAAAACTTGTGTAAAGGGACCGTCCAGCCTCCAGGGAAGTGAAAAGGGAGTCATGAGCGCGTCGAAGGTCGGAGGAAGCGTCTGGAGAATAGTGATCTGGAACAAAAATATGAAATTTATTTACGCAAAATGTATTACTCGTGCAGTTTTGTCGATTTCATGAGGTATAAGAACACATTTATATAAAGGTGAGCAACTAATCATCTGGAATATATATATATATATATATATATATATATATATATATATATATATATATATATATATATATATATATATATATAACGGTGTTAACTAAGGCAGTCAGTCATCTGTTTAGAGTCAGGCGTGAACTGTGGCAGCCTCATGCTGCTTGCCATCGTCATAAAGTCACAAAGAAAAACAAACAGGGCCACACCCCTCCCAGCAGGGGGAGGTGAGAGCGGTGCTGGGGTGGCCGGGCACGCCTCAACCTCAGCTAGTCATCCAACACCAGCAGGAGCCCCAGGATAAATGTTGAGCGTCGCGGCCGCCATCTGTAGGAGCAGCTGCTGCCCCGGGACACGAGCGACCCCCAGCCCACCACCCTCCCAGGCCACCACGCCTACACCTCCCGGGCACCGGCCCACATGTACCCCTCACACACACTTACCATAGTGTTGAGATCTCTCATCACTCTCTGGTCATTCCAGAAACGAATTTGCTGAATGAAGTAACTTTGTATTTAGTTTTTCTAATTGTTGTGTGAATGATTCTTGTTATCACGGCATACAAATCGTTTTGGAAAATAAATGATAAGTGCATTGTAGTACAGTGTAGTACACAAACAGGTGTAGATCTGGACACACAGGCTTGGCTCTCTTGTTCTGATTTACTTAAGTATGACAGTTTTAGTGGATGAATATCTATCTCCTTGTCTGTCTGTTAGTAATCTGTAAGGAGATCCCCTAACACGACCTCATAATAGTAGTGTAGGTGGCTGGCACTGTGAGGTGATGTCGGGGTCAGTGGTTGCCAGGAGGAGACACTCATCACATAACCAGTCGTTAGGCGCAGTTAAGACAAGACTTAGATACTTTTAATAATGTCTTTATGTTTGTCCTGTACTTGTTTGGGAATGTTTATCTTTTCACGCCACCTGTGTCATGCTTGGCTGTGTCGGTGTGCCAGTGTACTGTATCACCAACTCTTACATATTGTACATACAAGCACTCACAGTAACCTTCGCCAGCGAGTACTGTATTATGTATGGACACCTCAGCTTGCATGAAATAATGGCGCTGACAACCAACGACAGACAGACAGACAGACAGGTATATAGAGACAGACAGAGCGAGAGAAACTTGTATATTTCTAGTTCTTCACGGCTGCAGAATGTAAGATGTCCTCTTCATGAATCTGTTTCCTTCAGTTGTTTTATACACGGACCGACTACCATGGGAGAGACCTGGGGGTGAAGACAGTGCTATATATAAGTGTACACTACAACAGAGGCGAATATAAATACTGTACCTTCAAGTCAAGCTTCAATCTTTCAATTAAACCCAAAAGATAGGACCACCTCCTTACGAACAAAACTAGAAGTTGGATCTTACACTTCTTATAAATTAGACCTTCCTACTATAAACAAAAAGCTTCAATTCTCTAAAACAGAAAAACGCTTCATTAAAAGATGAGTGACCAAAGGACACTACCCTTGCCCTCTCCAACACTTGCCCTCTTGCCCCTTCCTTCCACTCTTATTAAAACAAAAGATACGTTGCGATGATTTAACCCTTATGACTGTATGTCTTTACGTATACATCAAAGGGTTCAGCTTCAATCGTTCTCAAAGCTTCAAAATTCGTTCTCAAAGCTTCAAATTTCGTTCTCAGTGATTCAAAATTCGTCCTCAAAGCTTCAATAATCGTCTTCAGAGCGTCAAGAATCATCCCCAAAGCTTCAAAATTCATCCTCAAAGCTTCAAAAATCGTTCTCAAAGCTTTAATATTCGTCCTCAAAGCTTCAACAATCATCCTCAAAGGGTTAGATTTAGATATATGATTTGTGTCACCCTCCAAATGATTATCTGCACGTAGAGTTTTGCTTACGATTGAGTCAGCTAATTGCATTAAGGTCAGTTCTTGTTATACTGTTAATGCGAATAATCACAAGGTAATTCGTAGTTATATTTGAGATTGGTTCTGACCATTACCACCGCTCCTCCCCTCCCTCACCCCGACCACGTGACCCCCTTCTATGCTTGCTTTGCTTGGAGAGAAGAGTGTGTGTATAGGGGGGGGGTGTTATTGATTTGCACCAGTACGTCCTTGTTTATGTCCGTCCCGCGCAAGTGTGTCAACAGGATGGACTATTACCTGTTTCATCATAGAGCCGCGACTTGTATAAAAAGGGCTCCTTAATACTCGTCCTCATGTGGCCTGATTTTTATAGAAGCCGCGGGATTGATTTTTGTATCGGTGACGGAAGGAAAGGAAAGGTTTTTTTTAACCCACTAAACTAACGCCGCTTTTGATCCTCTCGAGTAAATAAAATATCGCGTGTGTGTGTGTGTGTCAGTCAGTCATATATACGTTTTCCTCACTGGGTTTTCCCTTTACCTCATCTCGCCTCGGCTTGCGTCATTTCGCGTCCCCTTCCTTAACTTAATCCCCACCTATTTCTTTCCTTGCCTCTCCTCCCCTCACCTCACCTCCCCTCCCCTCACCTCCCCTAACCTCACCTAATCCTGCCCTCCCCTCCCCTCACCTCACCTCCCCTTACCTCACCTAATCCTCCCCTCCCCTCCACCAACCACGCTTCACTCACACGCACTACATCATTAATTTTAGTTCTCAGATTAAATTACAAAATACCTGTATAATTAGACTCGTATATCGTGTTACATGGTGAGTGTGGTGGTGGCTACAAGGCTCGTGTCCAGTCCTAACCATCCACACTGCCTCCTTGTATACGGAAGACTTAACGAATTCAGTGTGCTATATCCGGGTGCTAAGGCCAATACGATTCATCTTTCACGTTGTTAATTATTTCAGACGCTCTAATTCAAGGTTGCAGTATTTGAGAGTCTTATATTTCACGAGTTAAAGTGAGGTGAGGGAAGGATTAAGTGAAGTGAGGTGAGGATTAGGTGAGGTGAGGGAAGGATTAAGTGAAGTGAGGTGAGGATTAGGTGAAGTGAGGGAGGTAAGGTGAGGTGAGGGGACAACAATGCAACACAGGCTAGTCTCGACAGTGAACGTAAATGGCCAGTATAAAACACGAAGCGGGGATCGAACCCCGGTGTGTGAGAGAGCCTGGCGGGGCTGTCACCATGATGTTCTCGTCCATGTGCAACTTCCTCAACAACCCGAACTATTGGCAACTTAATGCAAGAGGAGTGACGCAGGAGGAGGATGAGTGACGAGGAGGAGGATGAGTGACGCAGGAGGAGGATGAATGACGAGGAGGAGGATGAGTGACGCAGGAGGAGGATGAGTCACGCAGGAGGAGGATGAGTGACGCAGGAGGAGGAGGAGGAGGAGAATAAGTGACACAGAAGGAGGATGAGTGACGCAGGAGGAAGACGAACCCACTTACGACACTTGATGATGCTTCTGGCTAATCCTTATTTATTTATCAAGGGGAGGAGGGAGGAGAGGGTTATGAAGAGGAGGAGGAAGAAAAGAAGTAGGAGGGAGATAACAAGAAGTAGGAGAGAAGACAGGGAGAACGAAGAAGAATAACAGAAGGAAGAGGAAGAGAGAAAGAGGAGAGAGAATAAAATAAGCAGTCTTGGTTAGGTTAAGTTATCTTTAGTTAACTCTGAGATGAATTAACCACCGCCCTCTAAGGGGCTACAGGTAGTGAGTGTAGCACCGGTGAACAGTGGTTGTTTACACGTGATGACACAGGTGAGGTGTGTGGCGGCGTCACCATGAATCATTAAAAATATTGTTATTCACATTTGTAAAACAGTTTCCTTTAAGAAATAACTGAGTGGGAAGTTTTCACTATGAGATTGATTTGATGTTTGGGTGAGTCAAGTATTCCTCAAACATCACTGTGATGTTTGTTTTGCTTTACCCTAGTGAACTATGACGTCATCGAGTAACGTTCG